TCCCGATGCCGGCGCTAACTCTGGCCCCCCCTGGCCGCTTGAAACCTAGTGTGTGTCGATTAGTTACAGGCATTTGCTTCGATTAGTTACAGTCATTTGCAATTATCGACTCCCCCTGTCCCCCGGCCTGCGTCGGCTCTCTGTTTGCGTGTGGCGGCGCGTTGTTCGCGTGACGTCACCCTGTGTCAGCGAGGAGCAGCGCCTGGAGGTGTCGCGGGCGCTCATTGACTTCCAAATGGAGTTCAATGAGTCGAAACAGGTAGGGAGCGCCGCGGTGTGCATCTTGGCAACTTTGGGCGCTGATTTAGGGTAGATTGAGTGCCGAATCTGTTTGGGGTACATGTGCTGCAGCCAATTCTCACTTGCAGACGCAATTCAAACGGTCTACAAGGCAGTGTGATATGTTTAGAGCTGCAGCAGCAACACCCGTTGCAAGCAAGCAGCTCCCGATATAATGTGCCATACACGCGTACGCGCGTGGGTGCGTGCGCGCCAGCACGCAAGCAGGGTCACCCAGAATCCCCATGCTTCAACCACAAACGTGCAACCCGCCCTTTCAACCCGCCTGCTCAGACACACCCGCCCTGCATCCCCTCCCCCCATCTCTTCCCCTTCCGAACCACCACCACGAGGACAGGAGCATGAGGCTCAGCGCTTTTCCCTAGAACAGCGGATCCTGGAGCTCGAAGCCGGCCGCATGGAGCGCTTTGTGAAGGCCGAGGACCACGCTGCACTGGCAGGTGGGCGCGCGCGCATGCGCGGCGCGGCGCGGCGCAGCGGTTGCGCCCGCCCATACGGCCGCGGCGGGGCGCGTGCAAGTTGCGGGGCGGCTTGGGAGGTGGGGCCCCGCGCCCGGCCGGCGGGCGCTGGCTGGCATCCGGCCGCGATCTCGATCAAGAAAAGTGGGATGGGCTGCAAGACTGCTGCTGTTGCTCGCCCGGACGACACACGCCTTCTTTTGCTGGTGGCGCCGTGCACCTAATGCACACTACTGGACACTGTTCCGAGGCAGCAAACCCAACCACCAGCACAACCGTCAACCGCCAGCTAACCGGCCACCAGCTCCGCGCACCAAACCAATCGACCGCCCCCCAAAACCGATCCAACCCAGACGCGCGCGATGAGATCAATCGGCGGCTGAGAGACTGCCAAGATGATCTGGAGCGCTCCCGCAGGGCCACGGCCGCAGCGGAGGAGCAGGTGGGCGTGGGGAATTGGCAGCGCCGCGACAAGGCGTCATATTCACTGCGGCGGCGGCTGCGGGCAGGAAAGGGGCAGGGGAGCGGGGCAGGGCGGGGCCTCCCTACCAGGCTCTGATTGGCGTGCCTGTTGCGCAGTTGCTGGGTCTGGCTTGCGCTGCGGGCTGGACTGCTGCTGCTGATGGGCAACCCTCTTTGCAACACTAGGCACCCTCGCCTGAAGCTCCACCCTGAAATCGCATCCCCTCGAGATCCTCAACCACGCACGCACGCACAAACATGCCCACTCGTGCACGCGCGCATGCGCGCGCGCGCACACACGCACACACACACACACACTCTTACACACACAAACACTCTTACACACACACACACTCTTACACACACACACACTCTTACACACACACACACACTCTCTTACACACACACACACGCACACACACGCACAC